CGACACAGTAACATCGACGTTGAAAACATCGAACATCGGTCGCCTATCATCGAGGTTTTACTAAACATCTCTACTTTCCAGTCCATTTTATTTTTAAAATTACTCTCAGCTGTTAGTATGCTTTGTCGCAGATTTGACAATTTATTCAAATTTATGTTTATAATAAATGCTCAAATGCGCTCTCTGGCAAAGGCACAGTATAAAACTCCTGCATTTTAAATCTAAAACGGGGAGGGCTATCTTAATAAATTTTAATAGATGGTCAAATCTGTAACAAAACATACTAACAGCTGAGAGTCATTTTAAAAATAAAATGAACTCGATGTTGATAAAAAAATCCTTTTTTGTAAAAAGGAGTGTTTTTTGGAAATGTTTGTTATTAATGTAAGCTAAGAGCAACCCCATGATCCCTACCCTCTTATTTTGGGAAGGTTCCTATCCTAAATTAACTTGCTAACGCTAATCGTTTTCGAAATAAAGGGGGTGGTCCATGTTGTTACAAAAAACATACCCCACGGGTCTTCCGTCGGGCATAACACAAAAATGGTCGATCCTATCAAAATTTTCCTTTCAGTAAAAGCAGCATAAAGTAATCTCTAGAATGGAATTATACTATAAAAAATATGGTATTCCTATTTAAAATAACAAAGTGTCATTTCCCGGCTAGACGAGAAAGTTATGTTAAATCTGCTACCACTCCGCGATTTCTAGTCAAAATTAGCTTTGGGCTTGTATAAGACTATTTTTTGCTAAAGTTTATCGTTTTTTAAATAAACGGGCTGGGCCATCTTGTTACAAAAAGCATACCACCCTCACGATTCTTCCGTCGGGCTTAATTCAGAAATGGTCGATCCTATCAAAATTTTCCTTTCAGTAAAAGCAGCATAAAGTAATCTCTAGAATCGAATTATACTATAAAAATATGGTATTCCTATTTAAAATAACAAAGCGTCATTTCCCAGCTAGACGAGAAAGTTATGTTAAATCTGCTACCACTCCGCGATTTCTAGCCAAAATTAGCTTTGGGTTCGTATAAGACTATTTCTTGCTAAAGTTTATCGTTTTTTAAATAAACGGGCTGGGCCATTTTGTTACAAAAAGCATACCTCACGATTCTTCCGTCGGGCCTAACTCAGAAATGGTCGATTCTATCAAAATTTTCCTTTCGGTAAAAGTTACATAAAATAAACTCTAGCATCGAACTGTACGATAAATATATGGTACTCCCATTAAAAATAACAAAGTTTTATTTCCCAGCTGGATGGAAAAGTTATGTAATCTGTTACCACCACGCGATTCCTAGCCAAAACGAACTTGGGGTTTTTATAAGACCATTTTTGCTATAGTTCATTTCCGAATCGAATGGGTGAACTATAGAAGTTGATACACCCTGTATTGATGTATTTTTCAGCTGTTTACATATTTACATTGAGGGGGAGCAAATAATCAATATCATTCTCCCACTTAATTTCACTTATAAATTTCACTGTCCATTCATCAGAAAGGAGGTCGCGAGGCCATTTCCTCTTTAGACGCCTTATGGCATTGTAGGCTTGGTCGAGACTATTGGGGTGATGGGGAGATTACTGAGGAACTTGGTACATCTCTGGGGAATTATGCTTTGGACGAATGGGATTTTAAAGTCGTTGTGGAGGGTAGTGTTGAAGATATAATACGGTGTGTTTATAATTGATACGAGGGCATTGATGGATATAGCAAGGTTTAGCAGTTCACTCGTTGTTCTATACGGTACGTCCAAGTCGGTTGTAATAGCGTTTTGTAAATTTTGTAAATCGTCGATAGCTTGGATTGTCGTCCTATAAGTTTGTAGATCAGACCAGTTGTTTAGACATTTCGTTCCAGTCGTCCATGCCGATTTCACGTTAAGCGTGAGTCTACGTGAAACCCAAGGTAACGAACGCAGTAGGATTTGGGGATAGAAACGTTGTTATAGTACATTGTGAGAGTAGATTTGCTTCAGTGTGTAAATGTGACGTTTCATTTATATTAATTTGCGATTTGTTCCTGCAGAAGCAACCGCAGGATCGAGGTTAGAGGATAGTACTAGCAGCGTCATCGACAAAAGATGAAGGTGGTAGGGTTAGCGGTAACATCTGCAGTATAAAGTATATAGAAGATTGGTCCGAGCACAATCCCCTGCGGTACTCTCGCGGCCAGAGCAGAATTCAAAGTAATCTGATCCTTGTCGGACTCGAAAGAATCGCTCTGTGAAATAAAAGCGGAAAATTAAGCCAATGGCTTTGGAAACCAAGAAAGCGAAATATTTCAAGTAATCTAAATATTTTAAGCAAGTATTATTTTCTGCTTTTATACTGCATGATAATATGTATATGTATATATAATATATATATAAAGATGTATTAAATGATATTAAACATGCATTTCAAAGGGTTCTGAACCCTTGTAAAATTTCCTGTAAATCGGTGCAGTGGTCTCTAAGTAATTTTTTTTTATTTTAGAAAAAAAGGCGAAAAGGTATGAGATATTTTTATTTTTTTATTTTGTCAGAAATATAAAAGTTTTTGTCCAACTGCGAAAAACGAATGTATTTCTTGTTAAAAATATATTTAACCTACTTTTCTAACTTTATCTAGGTTAATTTATTTCTTTGAAATGCCAAAGTAAAAAGGTAAATTTTCTAGTTTTTCTGTCTGAAAGTTTGCTGTTAACGCTCTTTTTGTCTAGTCTGTTGAAGTTAAATTTTATCCTGTTTGATCATCTTTTGGACCTTTCTTTTTTCAATTTCTCTACTTCCATTGTAAGCAGCGAATAGTAGTAACTAACTAGCAGTGAAGATGCTGGATATTTATAACTTAATTGAAAATATTATGTTTAGTGACACGTACTGGTGAAATTACATGTACTTTCTTTTTGGCTTATTATATTGGACTCAATATTATACTAGTTTAGGCTGTCATTAGGCGATTTAAGATTTCCAGCCTTCATTTCTTTTTATATTTATTTATGTAAAATTACAATCTTAATTTTTAACACGTGACTATTTTTGTTTAAAATTAACAATAAGAATTATTTTCAACAATAAAAGAGAACGTATTAATGTTCCCGAAAAACCCCACAGTTACAAAAACGTTTTTCTTCCGTAGGTATAATTTATAGTTTGACAGATTTCTTGATCATCCTGGTCCGCCTATTATCGCTACTTTGGCCTCTCAGAAACGCTTTGACATTTTCCATCTTCAGCGGTTTGTCTGTGTTATTTTCGAATTAAAACAGCTATAATATACTTATACGTAACTAGAGATCGACCCGATCATTCACAAAAACTCTTATTTTTGATTTGCCAATTTTAGGTAGGATGTGTGTTATTTGATTACGTTGGTAAATAAAAATCAGCGTTCGGCTGTGTCTTCGGTTAGATTATTCGACAGCAATTTTTTGTTTTGTCGGTTCGTTTCCTATTTATAACGTGTAGTTTTTAGTTGTGTGTGTGTGTGTGTTGTGTCAGACACACCCCTTTTATCATTCATGGATGTACAAAAGGGAACTGCAATCAGAATAAATAACACGAATCTGACCTAAAAACTGTCCTCCATCTGACAGACCAGCTAGGATAAACAGATGTCCTGAAACGACCAAACTACAAATCTAAATCACTTCTAAACAACACAACATTAAATAATACAAATCAAGAAAAACATTTGACTACTCCAAAATTCGTTGTCCAAAAATAGCCAATTGATCGAGTTTATACTGACAAAACAAAAAACAAAAAAACATATGCTATATTCTAGAGACTAACAGAAAAAATATGAATTTTAAATATAAAGACAATAAAGAATTTTTGAACAAACACGAAGTAAAAATTTAAAGATCCGTATAGTTTTTTAAAATTAATTTAGAGTGTATAAAGATTGATTAATCTCAACATTCTACAAGAGCAATGCATGTCAACAGTACAAAAGTGTCAATAAAGTATTACTAATGTTTGTCGTTTGTTGTTTTATCCTGAAAATTCAACTAATTTCTTTGGTCCCTTATATTAATATTAGGATAATTTTTCTGTATGTTTATTCAGATGAGACGAACTGTTTTCTTATGCAGCAGTGTTTGTAAAACTCGACGGAAAAGGGTAATTAACACATCTCTAAATAAAAACGTCGAGTTTTATCTTAATTTCTTTGTTGTGTAACGTTTACTTGTTTCTTCGATAAAAACTGCACGTTTGTTTGTTTTTTCAAAAATTCGTGTATTAAGAATATTTCAGTTTTACGGCAAGCTTTTGTTTTATTGATGTAACAGCGTTATGTTGTAATTTTGTTTTTCTTCTTTTTATGTTTTCGCGTTTTTTTTATGTTTAACTAAACGATTTCCTTATCGTAGGCTGTTTGAACGAGAAGTTAACGCTTTCATCAGTTTCTATCATCCAGACTTTCAGACGTCACCTATATTTCTCGGGCAGAACCTTGGAATCAGGATCAATACTAAAGGCTCTTTAGCGTGCCTCTGAAAGAAAAATGCCTACTACCTATTTTCATTTACATGCACAACACTTTTATACAGGAGAAAAAATGCCGATGATTATTAATTTCAAGCAGATGATTTTCTCCCAAAAGGATGTATAGTTGAGCCAGTTTTTAAAACTATTAAGTGAAAGAGGAATGGGTGTTTTATTGTTTTTTGAAAAAAGCTGCGGTGGATAGATAAATGGCAATGCTGGTGAGCAGGAAAACGTGCTTAATTTGAGAAAAAAGTTCAACTTTAACAGTAAACAATGCAAATATTATATCTATCTTGTTAAATAAGCAACTCTAGTTCCTCTACCTTCTATATTAATATTATTTATTAGTTATAAAATTTAGTATTTTTAGTTCTAAAATATTGAAGAAATAGCTTAATACAGTTATTATTAGAAATGAAGGTTATTGATAAGATAAACGAGACACGGCAGGGCCTCTTAAGTTTTATTTTTGATGAAGCTTTCATTTTTGTACTTTTTAAAGCGGAGTTTTTTTATTGTACTTACTTTTTGCTTATTCAATTCAATGTTAAAGTAGGGATTTTATTTATACTCCGCCACACCCCAAACGCTGTCTGGAAACAAATGTGGCTGTTGTTGTGTTTTGGAAGGAGGGGGATTGGCGCAGTCGCGGGCTGTCGCTGGATAAAAAAATATTTTATCAGCGTCGAATCGAAGCCAAAAACAAAGGTAATGCTATACTTACAAATATAAAATTTATAAAAAAAGAAAAAATATAGGCTATTGTTTTACCTTATTGAATTACAGTAGGGTTTCGACTCCAAGACTGTTGTTGTCAGTCTAATTGAAATTATTATGGCGTACGACTAGAAACCATCCTTGGATGGTACGATTACAAGCAAAACCTTGAAGATGATATTGCCTTCTATCAAAAGACAACGTTTCTATTGCACAATGTCTAACTCAAATAATAATCCTCTACAAATTTATCAATAAAAGTCAATATTTATACATGCGTTATCCAATAAATTAAATTAAAAGTATGAATGTATAATTTAAAAAATAAATTAACAATCTGTTGTGATTTCATATTTGCTATTTTTCCTATTTTCACCATGTTCCTTGAAATTTTTAAGGCGTGAGACCGAGTGAAGCAAACCTAAAGTCTAAGAATATCCAGTTTTTTTCAATTTCAATTAATTTTTAGTTAATAAGAATGTAAACAATGTGAGTCAACAATGTTCCTAGTTACCCAATAGTACATATACCATAAATATACCTCAGACAGAATGTGAGATAACTGACAGAACATTCCGCAATAATTTAGAAGCAATAATGAAAAATAAAATTATTCAATAAATCCATTATATTTCGGCGTCCGTTTGACCAAATAACTTCTTTCAATTAATTAATCTTTATGCAAGGTATTGGTCACGATAGCTCAAGTGGTTAGAGCACCGGAGTATTGAGCCGAAGGTCGTGGGTTCGAATCCCCCTCGTGACACTAGCTTTTTAATTTCAACCAATAAGATAAAGATTAATTAATTGAACAAAATGTTCCCAGTGTTGTGCACCAGCTCAACTTTGTTTCTGGCTAGCTTCGTAGTTGTTCGGAGATAAAATAGCAGAGTTTTTCATTCTCACGTTTAAATGGCAAACCTTGGCAGGATTGAACGAGCCTGAACGTGTTTACAAACTGAGTTCAGTCTACCAGAGTCCTCGGGTTATTTTTCGTATTTGTGTATACCAGTATGTGGAACGAAGAAAAAAAACTAATCAATGTAATATGTAGTACAGTGTTTTTGTGGAATGTTGCAAGTAAAGATTGTAAAAAAGAAAGAGTGATGCTTAAGAACATATAGCAATATCGTATGCTACAAATCACAGTTGCTTTTGATAGCGTAGTTGTTTAAATGTAGTTTTGTCGAATATTTTCCTCTAACCAAGAGCAACAGAGTTTTATAGTAAAATAACTCGACGACATCCAAGAAACAAATTGTAAAAAGTTTTTGCTGAGCCTTCAGAACTTAAACGTGATATTTTGCACATTAGAGCATTTTCAAACGACAAAAAGTGTCAATTCTTGTATCTGTACTACAAAATGCTACTACTTCTTCGATTACCTTTCCTACCGTTTCTACTACTTATAATATTGCTCCTCCAGTGCTACTACAACGCCTCCTATCAATCCTACTACTACTACTACTAATACTACTGCTGTTAATACTACTATTACTATTACTGCTTCTACTACTACTACTAACTGCTCTACTACTACTACTACTACTACTACTACTACTACTACTACTACTATTGCTACTACTACTACTATTACTACTTCTACTACTACTACTATTGGTTTTTCCGGAAAATAATGCAGGATTTTAAGTTTTCATTAAAAAAAATCTATATAAAATATTCTGTTTACGTTTACAGGATTACTCATTTGTATGAATGTCAACACTTATTAATCCTCTTCCAAATGATATTGTTTGTTTACCTCTGTAGCATTCCGCTACTTGGAAATAATTCAGTCATCCTTATAATGTCAAAGCGAGAATTTCGTACGATTTTCTTTTACGAGTTTAAACTCGGCCGAAGCGGAGCCCAAACGGCTAGAAACATTAACCAAGTCTGGGGCGAGGGTTGTGTTAATGAGTGCACTGTGCAAAGGTGGTTTAAAAAATTTCGGGAGGGAGATTTCAGCCTTGAAGATGAAGAAGGTCGTGGAAGGCCTTCCTCTCTTAATGATGATGTTCTGCGATCAGTGGTGGAAGAAAACCCCAAAACAACTGTTCGAGAACTTGCAGAGCAACTCAAAGTCAGTAAAACGACCGTCGCTGACCACCTCAAGGCGATTGGAAAAGTGAAAAAACTCGAAAATTGGGTTCCACACTCATTAAACGATCGCCAAAAAATCAGCGCTTTGATGTTTGTGCATCACTTCTTTGTCGAAACAAAAATGACCCATTTCTGGCCAGAATTGTTACATGTGACGAAAAGTGGATTCTCTACGATAACACTAGACGTTCTGGACAGTGGCTCGACAAAGGAGAAGCTCCAAAGCCCCCAACTCATCAAAAAAAGGTAATGGTTACGGTATGGTGGGCTTCATTTGGTTTAATACACTACAGCTTCTTAAATCCTGGCGAAACCATCAATGCTGAATCATACTGTAACCAAATTAATACCATGCATCAGAAATTGGCAGTAATGAAGCCCTCTTTGGTCAATCGGAAAGGGCCCATTTTGTTGCATGACAACGCTCGACCACATGTGTCACGTGTAACGTCACAAAAATTATTGGAGCTTGGCTATGAAACTTTGCCTCACCCACCCTACTCTCCGGACCTCTCGCCTACTGACTACCATTTTTTTAGACACCTGGACCACTACTTACAACACATAATATTCAAAAATCAAACGGAACTGGAAAATGCATTTATTGACTTTATCAATTCTAAAAATTCTGAATTCTACTCAGACGGAATTAATAAGTTACCAACACGTTGGGAGAAATGTATTGAGAGTATGGGAAATTATTTTGATTAAAGAACATTGCTTTAAAGTAACTAGTTTCTTTTTTTTTGTTTAATACCAAAATCCTGCATTATTTTCCGGACAACCCAATACTACTTTTACTACTACTAACGGGTCTCCTACTAGTACTACTACTACTTTTACTACTACTAACCGGTCTATTACTACTACTACTACTACTATTAACTGCTCTACACCTACAAAACAACAACAACAAACTGCTCTACGTCTTCTATTACTACTACTACTACTACTACTACTACTACTACTACTACTACTACTACTACTACTACTACTACTACTACTACTACTACTACTACTAACTACTACTACTACTTCTACTACTACTACTACTGCTACTAATACTACTATTACTATTACTGCTTCTTCTACTACTACTACTACTACTTCTACCGCTTCTAATGCCTCTAGTACTACTTCCACTCTTCTACTACTACTAACCGGCCTACCACTACTACTACTAACTGCTCTACAACATCTACTACTATTACAACTACTACCATTGCTACTAATACTACTATTACTACTACTTTTACTACTACTAACTGCTCTACATCAACAACAACAACAACAACAACAACAACAACTACTACTACTAACTGCTCTACGTCTTCTATTACTACTACTACTATTACTAATACTACTGCTACTAATACTACTATTACTATTACTGTTCTACTACTACTACTACTACTACTACTACTACTACTACTGTACTTTCACCACCAAGGGTTGTCACTCCCCAATGTGCTGACCCTAGGGTTATACGTCAGAGAAGTTCACTTACCCCTTTATGTGGCTGGATCAATATTCCTCCTGCTTGTAGTTGCTACTATTACTACTGTTTTTCTTCTTTGAGGGATGGTAATTTAAAATGTGAAAATGTGTTGGGGTCTGCACTACTCGAGTTAGTTGAAGTGGTTTTTCAACTGGGCCAAATTATTTTATTTGATGGACGGTTACCCATTGCTGTGGTACCATTTGGATGTGTACTACAAGTCGTAACAGCTGCTATGACGTTTAGAATGGGTCGTATGTGCACAATCGTTCGTCGTTAGTCATTCTAATGTAAAGAAACGTTAAAGTTGATTTTCTTTCATAATGCATGCTTTTTGTTTTTTGTGGATCTTTTTGACTATCAGTTATTCATCGATTCAGCCAATAATATTATTTTAGCTTTCTTATCTGAGCTCGCAGACTATCCTACTTCAGAGACGGTTACTGTGGGTGTGTACTGCATGTCTGTTTTGTGCTAATTTGTATGTTTTAGTATGTGTGTTTTCGTGCGTAGTGTTATGATGAATTATGCGGCGTACTTTACTCAGGAACCTCAGAGGACTATAAAAGTTCAGTAAATGAGCCAATAGAGCGCAGAGAGCTACCCAGACTTATAAATAACAGAGGTACAAAATGCATTCGACCTTGACTGTATTATGATTGAATGAAACAAGGTAACACAGCTTGTAATACAGAGAACAATCCAAGGACAACTTAGAGAGTGCATACTGAAAATACAGCAGAAGCCAAAGGAACGACCGAGACCTTCTAATTTTATCATCCCACTGCCATTCAGACTAGGTTAATTGATATTTAAATAATTAATTATTCATATTTTATTTAGAAATTATTGCATATAAAACCAAATTGATACATAACTGCGTTATTGCGCAATTTGTGAGAAGGAAGGACAAACTTCACATTTAAAAAAGAATGTAATAATAATAATAGTAATCTAAAAATCAACTTGTTTTGTTATCAACAAATTAAAGATAAATTGAAACCGTCGACGTTTTACAATTGGGAAAAGTGCAGGATGACGAGGTCCCAATTTTAAAAGCATTGTATTATAATTTAATGAGGCAGCATCATCCGCTTTTACTCATCTGTCGTTTGCTCATCGATGACTCAATGGCTCATGTTCATGATGATATTCCCCCCCCCCCACCTTGTTGAGTGTCATCGTAAAAACCGCGATGACGTTTACAATATTGTAGGTAGTAAATGCACAATCGTTCGTCGCTAGGTGGGTTAATGAAAAAAAACTACAAAACATTAACATTGATTTTCAGGCTTTTGTGGATATTTTTGGCAATCATTTATCCATCGATTCAGCCATATCACTATTGCACGATTAAATTAGAAATCGCATAATTATTAAATTGACTTCAATCATGATTTGATTTAGGTAGGTTGTTTGATGTTTGAACTAATTATTAATACAAAGCGATAATACACACATAATAAACCTTAGAAATCCTAAAATTATTTTGCATATATTGTTACTATAATTCACCACTAATTAGTTCTTCTTATGCATATGTAAATTATTTTAAAAAGACCTTTTACAAAAGTAATAGATAAAAATACTTTGAAGGAACCATATTTTCATTTTAGAACCTAAAACAAAAGTCTTCCCTTGCTGGTTTCCCCTTGCACATTTACTTTTCCTTGGTTTTATTTTCTATCTATTTATATTATCTAAAATTTTCTTACTAAGAAGAGGAAAACAGCCCGGAACCCTAAACCTAAACCTAGTTTAATTATGCAATAAATAAATAAATAACGGTAATAAAACTAACAATAATAACAATATTTAGGACTTAATAATTAGAATAAATAGGGACTTGTTCATTTAAGCGTATTTGAGGCAAAGTCTATATATATATGAATGAATACTGTGAAGAATGCATTTTTTCAAAAATCAATCTCATTTATTACGAACCAAACAAAATTTGAAATTTTTCTTTAATCATGATCCTTCTTTTGAGATAGATTTTTAAGATACCTATGTCAAAAAACAAAAAGACTGGGAAGAAAATAAAAACTAACAGCTGTTATTGACATTTAGCTGATGTTATTCAGCTGGGCCTTTCTGTGGAACCTTCGTGCAACGGGGAAAGTGTATTTTAATTTGGGATTGGACACCGTATGCTATAAATATCTGTAAAATGTATAAACCGGTCGTACACACAAAAGAACTGCTTATTGTCTCCAAATCCAAGGTATTTTTTTTCCTATATCTTTCATAAAATTCAATCAAACAATTTAGACTCTCTCCATCAGGCCTACAGATAAATAACATCCATCTTTTTATTAAAAACAAAACAAGAAAATAGAAAATAACGTATCTAAAATTTTAAGAAATTTTTTTTAAACAGGAAAGATTATCGCAGAAGCCATAAAGATTATTTTTGGTCAGTTAAACAAAAACATCTCTCCTCTAGCACATTTTTTTTAAATGATCACCAACATTTGCTATAATCTTTACATTAAAAACAGTTTCTATAATTTTTCGAAAAAAAATTAAGGTATTTGCGTCGATCTTTAAAAGAAATGAGTCTTTTCGCAATTTTTTATGATATATTGTCCAATTTGGAATTGATTGCACTTGATTTAATTTAACATTACGTATAATTACGCAAATCCGGGTACATGGAGGGCTTAAATGATACACGGTTTTTTAATTTTCGCAATACAATATACGTGAAATAGATAGAAAATGAGATAAACAGAAAAGGTGAGAGGCGGAGAAACAAGAGCAAGAGTGTGAGAGATAGATATATTGGTAGATAGATAGATATAGAAAGAGGTAGATAGGAGAAAAGAAGAGAGTGAAAGTCAATCATGCATCTCCATTGAAAAGAGGAGGAAATAGAGGTAAAATGTGGAAAAAGAAGGAAAAAGAACAATGGAGGGAGAGAGAGAGAGAGAGAGAGAGAGAGAGAGAGAGAGAGAGAGAGAGAGAGAGAGATAGAAAGATAGTACATAGTTTTAACTACAACAATAATACATCGATAGCTGCTTTGTGTTCGGGGTAGGATACGAAAAAAAAAGAAATTGAATGTAGTCTGTACTGTTTTTAAAAAACTTATCGACTTATTATAGAGCCTCAACAACTAATTTTTATTTTCAACAAAGCAACAATTTTTATGAATTTTTTAAATTTAATTTTACCAATAATAATCGTGGTAGATCTATTCTTGTTGATTTTATCATAAAGTAAATGTTCAATTTTAAACATTTTAGGCTTTTGTTTAGTTTAAAAATCAAGAGACAAAAACGTTTTGTTGTACATGGCCCAGTAAAAAAAAAAAAACCTCCAACATTCAGAGTCCCGTAGTTAATAGAAACAGGGAAGGAATCAGAAGTGAAGAAAATAAAAAAAGAAGTCAATATAAAACAGTAAGAAAATAGTCATAGCAGCCTTAAAATTCGGATTTTCTGTCTTGGACATAGGACAGGGTATCTCAGACTTGGGGTCAATTGAATAAGAAGAAAAGTCAGCCCTCTTACTCACACCGAAATAAATGTTAGGCAAAAGAGTGAGAGAGAGTGGGAGAGAGAGAGAGAGAGAGAGAGAGAGAGAGAGAGAGAGAGAGAGAGAACAATCTAATTATAATGCTACAATGCCATAATTAGTAATATTTCTCTTATACTTCAAACATTTCTCCTATTACAATAATAGTTTTCATACATGTTAAAAGCACATGTTTAAATAATGACAACAGCTTTTTGAGTGATGTTTTCTTTAATACTTTTTTCATTTTTAAAAGGAAGAAGAGCCTATAAAAATGCCTTATTACCAGCCAATATTAGATGTGGATGACAAAGCGCAGCAGGAGAATTCGGCTCTTGTAATTGAAGCTTTTTCGGCCAAAAGCTGTTCAGAGATGTCGGAGTTCGAGCTGAGCTATCCTTGCAAATATTGTTCGTTCAAAGGCGAGACGAGAACAGAATTGGTCGAACACATCGACACCCACGACAAGACGAAACCGTACGAATGCGAAGAGTGCGAGTACAAATGTTCACAGGCGAGGCTTCTGAAGCGCCATTTCAGGAAGCACACCGGCGAGAAACCGTTCGCCTGCGAAGAGTGCGAGTACACGACAGCATATTCGCCGGCTCTCAGGGTCCACATGCGGACCCACACCGGAGAAAAGCCGTTCGCCTGCGCCTTATGCGATTACCGGTGTGTACACGGTGGACATTTGAAGGAACACATGAGGACGCACACAGGCGAGCGGCCGTACGAGTGCGTCGAATGCGGCTTCAAATTCGCCCGACCCGCCCATCTGGAGAGGCACATGATGACCCACACAGGAGAGAAGCCGTACAGCTGCAGCATATGTCCGTACAGGTGCGCGAGGGTAGCCCATCTGCAGAGGCATCTACGGAAGCACACCGGCGAGAAACCGTTCTGCTGCGTCGTCTGCAACTACAAGTGCACGCAGTCGAGTCATCTCAAGATCCATCTCCGGCTCCACAACGGCGAAAAACCCTACGAGTGCAACCGGTGCGATTTCAGGTGCACTAAGTCTGGAAACCTCAAAGTGCACATGAGGACTCACACCGGCGAGAAACCGTTCAAGTGCAAACATTGCGACGCCAAATTCGCTATGTCCGAGAAACTTAGGGAGCACAGGAGAAGCGAACATTCCAAAAAATACAAACAATTTTCTTGCACAGACTGTGAATTTACATGTAAGAAAAAAAGAGATTTGAAGTCACACGCGAAGACTCATCAAACTGACGGTCAAACTGAAAATCCATAAATTTCAACAGATGTTTTATTTTTGTTTTCCAATAAACATTTTTATTTTTGAAAATTTTTTAAATCCAGTTTAAAAGAATTATTGAGAATTGATGATAATCGGACATTTTCTACATATTTTGAAATATTATCAATACTTTTTATTATTTGAAATCTTACCATTACAATAAAGAAGTTTATAACTATTGTCTTTTTATACATTATATTTATGTTGTTATATTGAATATTTATTTAATTTTTTAAAAATTTTCAATATCACTATTATTTTCTGATCTTTTCTCCTTCAACACCATTCACCCCACAAATATACAGGGGGTTAATTTGAACGCTTTGGAAGACTTTATAGTTATATTGTATTTATAAGTTATATTAAATATTTATTTAATTTTTGAAAGTTTTTTGTAGTTTTCAATATCACTATTATTTTCTAATCATTTCTCCTTTCACACCATCCACCCCACAAATATACAGGGGGTTAATTTGAACGCATTAGAAGACGTTTATAAGTTATATTGAATGTTTATTTAATTTTTAAAAGTTTTTGTTGTAATTTTCAATATCACTATTATTTTCTGATCTTTTCTCCTTCAACACCATCCGCCCCACAAATTTACAGGGGGTTAACTTGAACGCTTTGTAAGACATTTTCTCCGTAACTAAAAGTTATTTTGAAATTCCTAAAAATACGTAAATTTTCTTTTTGTAACATACGATTAAAAAAAAACTTGTGATAAATCTCACACAATTGGGTTCAGAAACTGAGCATAAAATTTGTAAACCCTTGATACGAAATTAATGGAATACCTTTTCACCTCCTGGAGAAAACTGAAATAGGACCAACGTAAAAAAAAGTCGTTTTCAATGACGCTACATTTGATATCATAATTTTTGTGCGTTTTTCAAATAAAACAATTACAATGCTTATTTTCTTTTTTTGATTCAAAATTTGCACTTTTAATGTACTCAAAACACGTGCAAAGATACATATGTACAACGAGAATGTTTTTTACACGTTTATATGTGGCAGTACAAATGTTAACAGGTACATTTTTAATGTAATTTTGAAAAAAAAACTTTCTTAGTACAAAATTTAAGGCAGAAATGTTGGAGTTTTTTTTCTTCTAGTAAAATTGGTCGTTTATTCAACAGCATAACTCATGATAGGCTCATTTTTAAATTTTTAGAAAATTGCAAACCGATCAGGTAGTGATTTTCATTAAAATTATGAATATATCTTGTCATGGCTTTCCATTATGGTTGACCATGAAATAATTTCCACTATGGATTATTTCTTACGGTGTGGTTTCCAGGCAGAAATCTCAGTATCTGTTCGTTTTTCAGGAAAATCCTTGTCCAAGGACAACAGAAAAGCCCATTTGTAAGTATGTCGGTTTCGAAATGCAGGGCCGCTGGATTCGAACCCGGGACTTTTACCTTACAGTGATGACCGCCGTGTCAACGCCTAATCGTTGCGGCCACCGACGCCCCCTACAATAATTGTTATTAAATTTTCTATTGGCATGACAGGATGCCAAATTGTTTAAAGGATGAGGAGATGTAAGGAAAGTTGTCTAAATTTGATGTATTAAATAAAATTGATTTTAATATGAGTATACGCGCAATTGTTTGATCGCCCTACTCAAAATATTTTCTTGAGCTTACACACTTAGAAATACTTTCCTCGTGATATGTTACATGTTTGTGTGACAATCAGTCAAGATTGTTCAGATTATATTTTTGAATAAAAATAACAAGTTAGAAATAATTTCTGTGAAATCCGGCTAATTAAGAATTGTTTTAAACGAGGTGAGTTTAAGGTCTTAGCAAAATGGTGGAGTTGAAACAACGCTTTAATAAGGTGATTAATAACTGACTCTTATCAGTGAACAAACAGCCTCTAGTTCTTCTCTCTCACTACGAAAGATTTCAGGGTTGGTTTTTTTTTATTTGATGCGCACAGAAGTCAGTAGTAAAAAGAAACAAACGAGCAAAAGAGAGAATAAGTGGCTTCACGCTTTTGATAAACGACGAAACCGGTTGTGAATTTTCATGAGAGAAGAATAAAAAATGAAGAGAACAAAGTTGAAATTGCTTTCACAGGTGTACAGTGTACTCTTTCCTTTCTCAAGTATGAATCATTGACGTTCATAACAGGAGTTGTGAATATTTGAAATATTTCGCCCATCTCTGAAAAACCCAACGCGGTTTAACAAAACGAAAATTTGAGTGAGATGAGTTTAATTTACAGGTTTAAATTTAGCAGTTGTGCACAAGATTTTACACTTGTAAATCATGACTACCTTTAAGCCAACAATAATAATGTTGCATTGGACATTTCTACTTTCATCTTAACTAAATAATGGTATTATTTGGTATATTATGCTCTTATTTTACAGCACTTTTTATATTTCTTTTTTGTCGTTACAGTTTGGTTTTCCGGAAAATTTCTTTTAAATAAAAATAAATAAAGAATATGTAAAAATGCAGGAAGTTTTTAATCTAATTGTATGATGAAAATGAATGTAGTTGGTAGGAAATGAACCCAAAAAGTTAAACAGTTTATAAATCTCAATTCTGTTACAGATCATCACTGATAGGCTTTTGATGTCTAGGAAGGGAACATAAAAAATACCTCCATTAGATTTCGTGATCCTATTGACCAAATAACATCTTTCAATTAACTAATCTTTATGTAAGGTATTGGTTGAGATAAAAAAGTCAGTATCACGAGCGGGATTCGAACCCACGATCTTCGGCTAAATACGCCGCTGCTCTCCCACTCGACCTATAGTGACTTCGATCCACTCGGACTCTCTAAAGCTCTCCGTGGCCATTACATTTGTCGCCGAGAATCAAATAGATTACACGAAATTTGAAAAATGGCAAAAAGGAGGGAAAATTCGACAGGTTGGGTTGTGGGAAGTTGGTGGAATGGATGGAAGTCACGATAGCTCTAGTGACAGAGCAGCGGCGTATTTAGCCGAATGTCGTGGGTTCGAATCCCGCTCGTGACACTGACTTTTTTATCTCAATCAATACCTTACACAAAGATTAATTAGAAATAACTATTCCTTCTTTCTTCCATAGTAAAATAAATATCCACAGTGATCTCTTTTGGGACGGGAATCTATTTTAAAGGACATTTGCATCTTGTATTTCGTATTTTTGTTTTCTGAACTAATTTTCTGTCCTCATATAAATAATAAAGAATACGTAAAAACTTGAAATTTTTTTGTAATTGATAATGAAGTTCAAGAATGATATATGAGTTTTCAGCTAGAAAAGAACCAAAACATTTTTTAGAAACGCCATTAGCTGTGACTGAGAACAGAGGGATTTGTCTTTCTTTTTAAAAAGAAGAATGTTTACAATCGATAAGTTACGTGCGCCAATTAATGTTTAGACAGCAAGAAAGGAAACCGAACCGTGCAATAATTGGGGAATTAAGGTCAATTAGTCAAGACTAGTGCTAGTCTACTAATGATGATTCTGAAGGTATAGGTAACGTTCCAACTCACACTTCTTCACTTCGAGGAAAAATAGAATAATATATATAACTCAACCATACCGGACAACATAAACCTAACTCTACCAAACCTAACCATTCCTAATTTATCCTAAATCAACCCATATCCACTTTTCGGTAACGGTAAATAGAATTTGGGAAAATGGCCAGGAAAAACAATTGTGTATCGCCTGTATTATATGTAGCTTATACAAAGAAGACTAGACATCATGGGCGAGAAACCTGAGTTGTGCATAAAACCCGAGTGTGCTCGTTAAAACTCCCGATGAGTCCTGTTACTCTTCTGCTTATTAGAAAAAAAAATTATCTGCCTACAGTTGATTCAACCCGTAGGTTGTTCCGTCGGGTATTCTTCCTCAGCGGTACACAGATCAAAAGAGTACAGAATGCAAAACCACTCACTGGGACTAATGACTTCGTATGTGAAAAATGTACCTATGAAGACTTGAATAAGTCCGAAGTAAATGAAGTTATGAAAATCACTTATGGACTTCATCACCTACGACTAGTTCACACCACGACTATTTGTTACCAAAATTGACTCACCATCGCCAATTACTGTCTCAAAGTAATTTTTTAAACTGCAAAGTATGATGTATAATGACGCTATTAATATTTCTTTGGCTATGTCTTTATGAATTTGAGATTATAACTCGCGCTTCGCACTCGCATATTTTTTCCCCTTCCCACACATATTTACATTGAATCATGGGTATGTAAATTAACCACCCTAACCTTATTACATTTAGCACTTAACCTATCTGATGTAAACAGACCTAACCTAACCTCAAGCCAACCTATAACTTGCGTAGGCGTCCCCAGTGGTCAAGCAAAAATTGTGTATTCAGTTCCAAAACATATCCATGTTAACAAAAAAAAAAAAAAAAAATGAGAGTAATAGAAAAGTTGGAAAAAAATCTTTTGGGATTGAAATTGTTATAGGTAGGCTATGAACTAGGGACGTTTTTATTAAATTGTCCGTTATTGGTCGAAAATAAATTAAAATTTAATCAAAGTCATTATTGATAAACTCCTTACAATTTTGTCTCGTTTCTTGTCAATCAGCTGACTGTCTTTCTTCTTCATCTCCGATTCCCAGTTCGAAAGATCTATCATGAATCTCTGCAATTCTTCTGTGTTGTTTTGCATGTCGCGTTGAAAGTTAAAGAAAGATGCCATTTTTCTCGGATTCTAGGGTTTTTTCTATTCGAAACTGTATGACACACAATAAACACTTGTTTCTATGGCAGGAGGTAAACAGATGTCGTTGCTAGGTTTCGAAGACTACACCCGCACTTCTGAGTTGTAGCAGGGTAGTTTTGCCCTGCGGTGAAATAAATCATATATTATTATTGATCGAAATAGCAATAAAACCGTCAGTCCAGTAACACTAAATCCAAAACTTGTATTGCATTTGAAAAAAAAAATTGAATTTTGTTAAAACATCTGCTATTGTTTAAACCTTCTTTAACGGACATTGCGAGTTAATGTAGCGTTAAAATAAAATAACCGTTCTTTGTTAATAAAATTTCATGAACTTTGAAATTAATATTAAATTGTTTTATTTTCCTCAGTATTAACGATTGATGGGTTGATAAAAGTCCCGTTCTGAGCCATAAAAGGTTCTTAAAGGCCTAAGCTTAAAATAATTAAGTACTTAAGACAATAAGACGTTAAAAGTTAATTATAAATCTTTCTTTTGCGATGTCCTCTACGCGAACAAAAACGGTTTATAAAGCTGAAAACTATTTAATATGCCATTTAAATAATTAATGCGTAATAAAATCCCTTTTCTATTGCATAATTGATTAAAAAAAACTCATAAATTATTGTCAGATCAATGAGGTATGGCTTTTTGGAGGAAGATTGTTCTTTGTTGGTTTGAAAAACGGGTGCAGTCGTGTCGCCACGTATCCGGTGTTTTTCATTTCTGGCACACATTTCCCGCACGCGTGTGCAAATGAAAACATACAGGGGCCAGGAGGGAGGCGGCCAATCAAGAGAATTTTTAATAGATCTTTTCCAGGTTTCCTTGGTTGTAAATGTAAATGAAAGTATTTTTTTCCCTATTCGCCCACGTCGCACACATACGGAACGCTGTTCCCTCCGCTCGAAACGAAATATTGTTACGACGAAGGGCATAATTGAATTAGGAGGACCTCGAGCACAAACTCATTTTCATGTCCTTTGTCATTCGATGCACGTAACTACAGTCTAGGAATCAACAGAGTTCCAACACAGAAAAAAAAACACGTTTGGAATATTCAAATTTCAAGTCGTTTTGTATTGATTTTAATTGAGAGATTTTATATTCCTAAATTTAAACAATAACCAAAAATAATTTATATAAATTTTTTAAATTCTGATATTTTTTTGCCCATTTAATCTAGTTTAGCCGTATTTGTCAAAATTGTGCACCTGGATTACGGTAAATCTATCCGACGGCTCGCACATCCGAATCAGAGCTGAACGGATACGGACTACTAGTCAATCTCGTGCTTGTTGTTTCCATAAAACTAGTTAACCTTTATTAATGAACTTGTCTTTTCACTTGAAAGATTTTACTTTTATACTGCTTGCATCAATTAATAAATATTTTATTATAGCAAATACATCAAATCTAGCCGCAAGTGACTAATTTCTAAATTTTTTGCTCAAGTCTTGAGAATGAGTCGTAGATGGTCAACAGCAGTTGTTTTCGTTCCCGATTCAGGTTCCCTTATCCTCGATGTTTTTGCCTGTCTGACAGTTCGGCATTTCACTATTTTCGCAGAAAATCCTCGGCCAGTCATATAACTGAAAAGGTGGAACCTACTTAAAAAATGATGAAATCCTATTACTGAGCAAATAACTTATTCTATCTTTGCAGAGCAAGTTTAATTCTTTCGAGTTTATCCTTAGGTCCTTCATCCTTCATATGGTGAGAGCAACATGTCCATATTTATAAGTGTTAATTTTCATTTTCCACCGAACCGCTCAAGGGTTACGACATAGCTATGTAGATTTTTGGCCGAGATGCCGGATCTTCGTGGAGCGAAGAATCATGGTATTTGATTATCTGCGTCGGTGGTAAGCATAGTTTGACAAAGGGTAGGACTGTCTGCGGTGTATACTGCGTAGAGGATTGAACCTAAGATACTTCCTTGTGGTACCCCTGCATTCGTGCGATAGCGTGTCAAGAGCCATTAATGACTTGAAAGTGTCTGTCGGGTAAGTAGGAATTTAGGATCATATAGTAGGTACACGCGTCCTCTCTCGATCGTCCAGAGCAGTCACGATTGCCATATATTTTTTCCTAGTGTCAGAGGGCACAGTTAATAAGGATCAGTATATTTATATTCTGAGACGCTGAGCGGGATCGAAGCTTCACATCTAGCCACTGAGCCCGTGGTTTTGGTTGCATCTTCATTGGGTAGATTCCGTCTAGCCTGCGTCTCACATTTCCCCGATTTCTCCTTTTTTGACAAAATTGGTAAACAAGTCAAGAAAATATACTTACTTTTGCATTATATTTAACTGATTTATTTACCCAATTCACTACTTGACTATATAACTTATCTCTGGGGGCCTGGGACTTCACAGCATGTATAAATACTCCAGAGCAGCAGCCCTTTTGTTCAAGAAAAGTAACGATGATGTATGTCCTTTCTGGAGAAAGTCAGAAACTAAACTGGAGGTCAGGAATAAGGTTGCGGGAATGAGATAGGGATCATGTGCTTAAACAAGTTTTTCTAGGATTTTGCCCATGATATTCACTATTTTCAGTATCCTACTTCTCAGGACGTGGAATCTGATTAAAAACGGACTGCTGCTACTTGAACAAATAATTCATCTCATAGATGCTTGAGACGTCACAGCATCTAGAAATACAAGGAGCAGCAGTCCTTTCGTTCAAGAGCAGTAGCGATGATGTATGTGTACCACACGATCGAGCTAAATAGTGCAATGAGAGCGTCTAAACTCAAACTTGTTTATTTAGAAGGTCTTAAAAGTTTTCCAGGATTAAATTAATTAGAAAAGGACCACTCGTCTCTCATAAACTAGGCTAAATCTTATTGGATCATGTTAAGTGTCTCGAGGGTGTTATGTTTGGACAGTGCAGGATATAAAAGATATAAATTTAAGCTAATTATTATCTTAATTTTATACAAATTAAGTCTTCTTAAGATGTTTGAGTGTGATTAACGAGATATTCTTCTATACAATTGGGTTAAACTTGAGCTTCATCATCAGCGGGAATCATCTCGAATCTCAGCCTATGATGCTGTCCTACGGGAATGAACTAAATAAAATGTGTGGTGATTAGTGACCGTTAATCGATATTTATTTAGAAATCGTGAGATACGGTCTGGTGTGATGTAGGTTTCAGAAAAACATTATCTTTATCGTGCCAACGTTTCGATCTTTATTGAGATCATCTTCAGGGCTCAAATTGTTTGTCTTCTGTGTAATTGTGCCATTCTTGCACCGGGCACTCTCGATATGACACGCAAGAATGACACAATTACACAGAAGACAAACACTTTGAGCCCTGAAGATGATCTCAATAAAGATTGAAACGTTGGCACGATAAAGAAAATGTTTTTCTGAAACCTNTGTCCCTGAGTCTTTTTCGTACGTTAGGTTAAACCTCCATTGAGCTGTTGCTTCGCATTCGAAGATGATATGAGTGGCTGTTTCCTCCTCCTCATCACATAATCTGCAAATGGGGTCATCGCTGTATATACCGATGTTGTGTAGATGTTTTCTCAGATACCAGTGACCTGATCAACTTCCGAGTGGATCGAGGCCACGATAGCTCAAGTGGTAGAGCAGCGGCGTATCTAGCCGAAGATCGTGGGTTCGAATCCCGCTCGTGCCATTAACTTTTTTTCATCTCAACTAAAAACCTTAATTAATTGTAATGAAAATTAACATTGAACTTAAGGACGTTTTCTATGTAATTTGTTAATCATTGTTAATTTGGGGCCTAAACAGTATTTTGAACAAAAAATTAATTGTTTTTCAATGACATTATGATCTGGGCAATAACCTATACTCGTCGGCACTAACATGTAGAAGTTTTTACCCCACGTGCTAGGTTAACGGTGGTTGTAAGGAAAGCAATTTGGTTCTTTTGCGTCTCATAAATTTATTTTAGGATCCATGTTTATGAAGGAATTTATCGCAACAAAAACACATTTTATTGACATACATTTTTCATAATGCAAAACTGCACATCCTACGAGCGTGAAGGCTTCCATGCACAGTTCGGCATACGTGATAGACTCTTAGAGCCCAGAAGGATTAACCACGTCCGTTATCGAATAAAATATATATTGGGGAAAATAAAACGTGACCGGTGTCGTTAAATGATCCCGGCTAGCCGTCATCATTCCGACCGACAATTTCGTATGCTGGCCGTAGTTAAAACCCCAGAAGAGTTCGTGCCGCCGGGGTGGCTACCGTGGTTGGTCCACCATTCACTCCTTTCCAGTTCTAAGATACCATTATATTAATGGAGAGGGCGTAATACAGTCAACTCCTCTTTCTTGAACACCTCTCACACTTCGAAGACCGAGGAACAGGTTGAGCTTGATTCTGTCCTGCTCTCTTAAATCTTCAGATGATCCCACATAACCAATCAAAAGTTGCATTTATAAAAAACGTAACAATTCAGTTTGTTCAGTATTTCTTTCACTTTTACTGGTACCTCTTACAGTTATCTAAATTTTAATATTTTACCCTTAGAAACAGTCAACATAGATCTTTTTTTTCCCTTGGCTTTGCATCAAGGCATCGGCCATGCGTTTTCCTTCGGCGCCGCCGCAGTTACAGAATTTACCATGTTTCTTTCACTACATGTTGTCTTTTATATTTTGATGTCATTCTTTTTTATAAAGGTCATTAAACTGTCAAATACTGGAATATTTTTAGTGTCGCTCAATATAGTTGCTATATTTGTTGGGAACGCTACTCCGTGCTTTCTTAAATTCTCATATAATTCCTCTCTTCCTTTGTTTCTGCTGGGGCATGTTAATATGACATGTTCCGGGTCGGCATATGTTTCTCCGTCACAGTCGCAATTTGCGTTTTCTATGAGGGATATTTTTGCTAGATGGTGCGGAAGTTGGTTGTAGTTAAGTCTAAGTCTGATAATGGTAGTGAAAAAGTTCCTTGGTCTAGTAAGTCTGAGGAACCATGGCTTGTAGGGAATGACGAGCATAGATCTCTATTGTTAATTTGATTCGTTATTTTTAGCAGGGGCTTAGCAAATAGCAAGGGTCTTATTAACCGGTATTTTTGATCTTACAGTGTCAATGCTGTAATTGTTGTTACCACCGACGGACCCATCGTGCCAACGTTTCGATCATTATTGAGATCATCTTCAGGGCCTGGA